TACATACATACATACATACATACATACATACATACATACATACATACATATTTAGCCCATTTAATCCTAGAATATCCCAGCAAGCATGCCTAGAGGACATGCTGCCTGGGTGACTTTAGTAGGTCTAATAAATAATACATACCAGTAAACAATATTCTAGGCTCTAAACACAGGTTCATTCTCTGATTCCTGCTACTTGAAGAAGCAACAACCAGCTCTGCACATCCAATCCCTAGTTTTGCTGGCCTTAAATCCTGTCCTATTCTGTTGACAGTTTTATTCCAATTTAGATCTTATGCATATGACTTGCTTTTGGTAATATCTTTTTTTCCCCCTAGTGCTAACTGCCCCTCTGTTGCTGGGTTCTATCATCAATAATCAATAAGAAGGGATTTAAACCCAGGTCTTGTGAGTCTTAGTTTATCACTCTATCCACTATACCAGACTGGGCAAGCCCATGTGTTCTCTACCTGCAAATAAATACTGCAGATAAATATATAAATAAGTAGTAAATCAAATTTCTCAGGAGAACACAATGTGTTTCTTTCTTTAGCAAGTCAATATATTTTCCTGAAAAATTTTGGGGGACATCTTTTGAGATTTCTCTGACATTATGTGGTCATGGTTTCCTGATAAAATCTGAATCTGCACAGAATTGTTACAATTCTTTCACCAAATGGTACCTTTCCTGGGACAGATTCCATGGTATGTTCAGAATTTGGGATTTTCATGCACAAAGGAATGACAGGGAAAAAAGTTAGAAAATCTTATTGCTCAGTCTCAGCAAGAACATCAGCATGAGACTAGGTAACTAATTGAGAAATTTTTCAAGTACTCTCTTCATGCAAATGATACGCAATTGCTCACATTAGTTCAGGATCAGATAAGTTCAAATAAGAATTCAGCCAAGTTTAAATTCCTCAGATATCCACTCCTATTTGAGATAGGTTCCTCCATTATATATACTGACTAAATCTTGCTTACTTTGTGATATTTGAGGAGACTGCCATACATCAAGACACTCAACTCTTTTTTGCTGTTGTTATTTATTGATCTTTAAAAGAGAGAAAACAAACACCTACTACAGTGACTAAGCCATTCTGCCCTGCAACATTTTTTGATTCAAATAAGCACAGCAAAACAAAAGCCACCAGTGCTGACCTGATCATACATCAAAGCTTCAATTCCTTGATGTTTAATTTAACCTTTAAAGGAGGATAGTCTTTTAAAGCCAGTTGGTTAAAAGGGATTTAAAACATCAGCACAGGTAGCCAGTAAATGCAAGCATGATGTATTCATCACATACATTTCAACTCTCCATTAGTTACATGTTCAAGTGACCACAAAAGTGTTTGGTTGCCACTCATGACTACAATTTCCATACCCAGCACCACAGATGATGTAACGTTCCCCATTTATTAGGTCAATGGTTCATGTTTTGTTATGTAATTGTTCATGCATATTCATGTTGCTGAGAGGCGGAGCCCGAGAGAGATGCTATAAGAGGCAGAGGCAGAGACAATCAGTAAGAGTGGAGTGTGTGTGAGAGAGGAGTAGTTAGAGTGTGGAGTTTGGGGAATTCTGAGGTGTGATTAGAGTTAAGAGTGTATTATCAGATAGAAGATTGTTGTTAATAATAAATTGACTTAAATAAGACATCCATGAATCACTATCAATAACTGTAATCAATAAGCAAAAGTTCTATTTAAAAGGCCTTGAAGTGTGGACTTGAATCTTCCTGAAGCAATGATGATTCAGTGATCACCTGGTGGCAGCAGTGTAAAAGAGGGGATTGTTTGCCTTCGTGTGCTCCGAGGCTTGACGGTCAAGCAAGGGGCACAAGGGGTGAACGCCACAATTGGTGGCAGCGGTCGGATACTTTTTATTTATTTATTATTAGACTTATTACCTCATCCCTCTAAACAATGTCTACTCAGGGCAGCTAAGAAGGAAGCCTGAGTTTGGACTCGAAGAAATCCAGTCAAGCCTGATTTTAAAAAGAATTTTCTTGAGTCAAGGATACCTTTTAGATAGAGGTCTGTGGCAAAGAAGTTTGGTTCCTCACTAGAGCTTTTGGGAAAAGCTTGAGGGTGGGGGCTTCTGAACCCAGATCTGGGGGGGGGGGTATAAGTTAGGAAATGACTCTGAAAGAAAATTCTTGTATTTTTACCTCATGATTGAAGAAAGACCCTGTGGGGTAGCTTAAGGCTCAATTCTCTAAGAGTTTAGAGAGCACTTGAGAGAAGGGCAGAAGCCAGGGGTCAGAGCAGATCTGAGGGAAGAAATGAGAAAGCCTTTGTTTGAAATAGGATTATTTTAGTGACTGGAAGTAATAGAAGAAAGACAGGTCCTTTTAAAATCAGTAAACACTCTGTACTAATCATCCCAGAAGTAAAAATGTCACCCAAACGTACTAAAAGGGGGAGTCCGGAGGCTGAGGTTTTACCTCACGAATTGGAGGGTAATTGGGATCCCTTAATTCAAATGGAACAGGAGGAAACTGATCCTCAAGAGGCACAAAGATTACCTCACGAAAAGAGGAGCCCTTTTGAAATAGTTGAGCAATATGAAGCTCAGGGGGATGATGCCTCAAGGAGGAAAGGTGTTATAAGCCTCCTAGATTTTCAAAAATGGAGATTACAAATGGAATTTAATATAAATGAATTCATGAACAAAGAAAGAATCAGTAGTTTAGAAAGGAGAGGAAAAGCTGAGCAAGAGGCCATTCAAAGGGCACTTGAGCAGGAAAGAAGACAAATAGATTTGGAAATTAAACGGATGTTGTTTCAAATGGATGTACAGTGGTGCCTCGCTAGAGGATTGCCTCACGGGATGAAAAACCCACAAGACAACTGGTTTTTGTGATGACTATGGTGCCTCGCAAGACGTTTTTTTCTATGACTGTGCTTCACAATACTTTTTTTTAGACCAATGCTTCACAAGACTTTTTTTAGACCTATGCTTCGCAAGACTTTTTTTTTTTTGAGACCAATGCATAGGGAACCTCGCAAGACAATTTTTTCACAAGATGACAATTTTTGCAGAATGAATTAAAATCGTCTTGCGATGTACCACTGTACAGTCTCAGGTAGATTTTGGCAGGCAGCGTTGGGACAACAATAAGCAGCCCTTTGGTGAAGATTGCCTC